TTTTGCATGTGGCTTTTGATCCAATCAATGCTGAGCAAAGTTGCAATCATACCGTTAGCATTCATTAATTCACCACCAAGTGATCTTGACGCTTTGTATACAGCCCTAAAATATGCAGCAGAAGACGCACATTGGCAAGGGTTTCCAGCTTGTTTGGTAACAATGGATCAGCCACTATATCCTAAAGCTAGAGAAATCGTAGCATCTTGCTGTGATGATCCGATACTGGGCAAAGTAGAAATGATTCTTGGTGGGTTTCATATGCTCATGTCTTATTTGGGTTGTACTGGAAAAACTATGGCTGGGAGTGGACTGAAAGAACTTTTGTCCTGCACTTTCGCTTTAAATTCAGTAGATAAAATGTTAATCGGAAAATCTGGGCCAACAGCAGCTTTGTGGGTTCAGTACTTTGAAATGGTGGTGTTGATGAAAAAATTCACTGCAGCACAGCACACTGGTAACTGGGAAGATCATATTACATGCGCCTAACTGATGATACCTTTCTTCCATGCCAGCGGTCATTTTCACTATGCCAAAATGTACTCAGCTATATTTAGAAGACATGCTGGGACTAACAACTCGCCACCCTCAAATTAAACAGGATTTTATGGGTCGTGGATACTTCACTGTCAACAGAACTGGAACACTAATGGCCGGTATGTGACACTTATGTGTGACATGAAAAGTGAAGGGGGACTTACGCGGGGGCGAGGCTTAAGTGACTCGGTATTGGCGAAATGGTTTGGGGGAACACGCACAGCTACAGCAATACGTAGTTCACTTGAGATGTTTTGTGGTGTTCGTTCTACAAGCGGAGAACAGCATGTTGACTTTCGAACATCGCGAATAACCAGAGATGATTTATTCGATAGAAGAAAACTTGCTCAATGGTTGAATGATAACCCACCTTTTGCTGAACGTGATTGTTTGATGTCACTTTCAACGGGCATAATTGGAACGAATAAAATCAACTGCTACCAGGCTTTGGAAATTGGTACCCGTACAATGAACACTTTTGTTGGAATGAGTTTCTCGGAAATAAAACATAAAACAATCCAAGAAGAACTCAGTTGTTTCTTTGGCTGCGATGAGCAATACGATGAAAGTGAATGATGAGATGGTGGTGGTAGAGCCTCTGATGATATTTCAGAGAACTCTGATCACCAAGAAGAAAGAAGAGGAGTTGCTGAAGTACGAGTTAGCCCCATACCCTATGGCTTTATTCGTTGAGGGAATAATGAGAAAAACCACAAAATCAGCACTGTATAAATCTTTCCCAAAATGTAATCAGTTGATCAATCTCGAAAACAGTTTTACGGTGATCGATGGCGGCTTTCTGCTTCATAAAGTAAAATGGAACACTAACACTACCTTTGCGTCCATCTGCTATCAATATGTGTCGTACCTACATACTAAGCCATTACGGTGACAGTTCATTTGTGGTTTCTGATGGTTATGAAGACGCAAACTCTACGAAAAGAGCAGAACAACGTCGGAGGGCATCCAGTTAAACATCTGTGGATATTATTGACTTGAATAAAAACATGGTAGCTACAGTTCGTCAAGAAAACTTCCTTTCCAATGAACGGAACAAAACCAAAGCTCATTACCATCATGTTGGATCAAGCACTAAGCGAGAGGTATGCAATCTACTGTAGCCAAAGGATATGCCGACTGCAGTATTGTGAGGCGTGGCTTGCAAAGCACCTCTCATTCAACTGTGTTGATAGTTGGTGACATAGGCGCCGGAATTTCAAAATTACAATGGGGGCTCGGGCTCCAAAAATTAACACAAGTAAAATTAATTATACAGACAGGACCAGGCTACTAGACACATAGGATTGAATAGGACCAGTTGACAGATACCTGTTTCACTGCAGGATCATTGATCTTCCCTGCATATTATTAAAATTCGTGCATCTTCGGCAGCTCGGCTATACTCGGCTTGTGCAACACCATTGGCGTAGCCAGGATTTTGTCTTGGGAGAGGGGGTCAAAGTTGAAGGTGATCCTTGTACCTCCGCCGCAAGCTGTACCGGAGGCAAGGCGCGAAATTTTTGGGTCTTTTTCGGTACTATTGGGACTTCGAATGGTGGGGGCAAGCGGAGATGCGGCTTTATGATAAGAATTTATAGTAGAATGTTACTTATATTATAATATATGTATTTATTTGATTATTTACCTAGGACTTGAATTGATGTTTTGTTTATTTTTATTTTGATTCATTAATAGCATTTAAAGGCCTTTAGGGGAAGGGGGCAAATGCCCCTCTATCCCCCTACGCCAGTGGGCAGCAGCAATTCAATTCGCCTTAAACGGATACAAGCTAATTCGTCTTATTACTCCCTATGTATCTAGTAGGTTGGTCCGCTCTGTATATAAATTTTTCCATGGTAAACTAGGTGAAAAAGCCAGTGTATTGGTACATTATGATATATTCACGTGATGTAAACATACCTATCATGAAAACAAACGGAAAGAAAATAATAATCCAATAAGTTATTGAAACTACAGGTTTAAATACTGTACAACAAGATATTCAAACTGTAAATTAATTAGGCAATTCAAACCACGTGACACTCAAGATGGCGTGGCGGCCACACATGGGCCAAAAAACACAAAAAAATATCTAGTTTCTGCCCGATTTAATCGTTTAGGTACCTAGTCAACAAATATCGTTTTAAATAATCAAAATCAAAGTTACAAGCAAAACTCTAAGCAAAATAATTTAAAATACACATAAAAAAATATTCAAAACAAGCTTGCTTGGCCGCCACGCCATATTGAATTTTCCTTTTCCCAGATAGATTGAATTGCCTAATTAGGTATAGTAAAACAACAAAAACATAAAACAAACAAGTTTCACATAAAAATAAATAGGTAGTTAGGAACTCAATATTTTTGTACCTACCCACTACATACAATACCAAAATCACTATGGGGGCTCCGCCCCCATAGCAAATTTACTTAGGGGGCACAAGCCCCCATTGCCCCCATGGTTCCGGCGCCTATGGTTGGTGAAGATATAGACCTGCTCGTCTTACTTGTGGCACTCACCTCACAAGAAACTAATGTGTTTTTCATGAAGGCCGGACGAGGCAACACGGAAGACAGGCTCTACTTTTCACAACATCTTCAAACTTTAATATTCAGCCAGCACATTCTTTTTATTCATAGTTTCTCAGGATGTGACACTACTTCAGCGATCTATAGTAAAAGCGAAGCAGCCATAGTTCAATGTTTTCAGCGGTATGCCAAACAAATAACAAACATCGCCAAAGTTTTTTATGACACAAAATCTTCACCAGAAGATATTGCTAAAGCTGGCGAAAGAATTTTTTTTGCTCATTCATGTACCAAGCCCCGCCAAATGAGAATGATTTTAATCACCACAGATAATTTCATTTTTCTTTGCTCGTACTTTCCCCTTTTCACGCAAATCTTATAATTCATGTGATTCATTATTACACAATAATACGTCGTATTATTAGTAAGACAATAATGTTATATTCAACATTAATGTACCACTATCGGGACTATCTACAACTCTAATCTATGATTTTTCGTTTTGTTCGCAGATACATGTGCTTCGTTAAATCAAGTGCAAAAATGAAAGCCAACCTGTGCGCTTTGCTGCCTACAAAAGAAGCTGGCATGCAACATTCTTACAGACTGTATCTGCAAGTACAGCAATGGTTGGGGAACGAATCCCTTCCTGCTGAAAGTTGGGGTTGGATAAGAAAAGATGGTGGATACCTCAACCCCATCAAGACAAATGCCCCTTTGGCCCCAGACAGTGTCCTCAAAACACTCTTCTGTCGATGTACCACTGGCTGCGGAACACGGTGTGGTTGCAGGAGAGCTGGAATGAACTGTTCGATGGTGTGCTGTCAAGGCTCCTGTACAAACAGTGTGCCCATGCAACAAGACTTGGGGCATTTTGAAGAAGAGTTTGATGTATTCGGAACTTTTTCCGAAGAAGATGAAATTGATTGAGAATAAAATACATATCCAATACAAATACATGTTGTTTAAACTTTTAGGAATAAACGAAACCTAAGTAACGAGCATTTTAATAGCGAAATGTTAAAACGTGTCCCTAAACTTCCAAACACCCTAATCACTTACTGGGTTTGGGTAAAGTAGCAAAAACTATATCTAAAAGCATTTGAAAAAAATTTTTTGGTCTACAACTTTTTTTTTACTGTAATAACAAGAAAAACAGTTACAAAAGGAATATTTACGAGATACCTTAGCCGCTACCATTTTTTTTCATAATTTTGCATATTCAGAGGCTCATATCTGGAAAACGGTAATACTTAGGTATAAATAAAAATACATCATTCGTTTCAATTTTACAAAGTATAAAATTTTCTTTGAGACGCACCATTCTCGAGATAAAAGCCAAAAACCGAAAAAAGTCACCTTTGGGATGCCCCCCTCTCCCCCGCGGCGCATGAAATCGACGGGACTTTATAACACGTCGTCAACGACATCATCCCCTACACATTAGGTAATGAAAAAATTGGAACCCCATCATTTAATGCAAGATTCGCCGCCATTTTGAATTAGTTTGCTTGGACTATTATTCAAATTGCAATAGAAACCACAAAATAGTCTTCTGTCCCATAAAAGTGTTTCCTTTTGACCTTTCCTATCAAGAGAAACGAGAAACTAAAATGAATTTTAAATTATTAAAAACTACACGTCTGCGGTGAACCGGCCACTCTACAAGCTCCCATAATGTGGAGTGAACACAAGAAAAACAAGTAACTGAGATTATCCACATTTTCGTAAAAATTAAATTGTTTTTTTTTGTTTTGAAAATTGAACCAAATTCTTGATTTGTGGTAGGTTTTTGGAACCAGAGCACCCGGCCATAGAAAACACACCGTAGAAATAATGAATACATTATCGAACGTGCACGTTCCAAAATACTATCAACGCCAATGTTAAATTTAGACTATTTTCCTATTGCGCATCTTCGAGCGTCACGACGCCGACGCCATCAAAACTAAACAAATCGATCGAATTTTCTTATTTACCTACTTCCACACAAAACGTCTATTCTGATAAACTTGCATTCCTAAAAATGAACGAAATGGTTTCATCACCTCAACACTCTGAGATGTTTTCTGAAGAAAACGACGTAAGTTCAACCAAAGAAATGTCCTTATTAGATCAAAATAATTTCCAAAAAAATAGATTTAAAACTGCCTATGTGTCTGTTGAAAATCCGCAAAAACCAATCGTTAGAGGTAGAAAAACGTTTGCTTTTTGGACTTTAGTAACTCTATTATTTTTGCTGGCAATTGGTAATTTAGTGTTGACTATGACAATATTGGGTGTACTGAAATTGGGCAATGGAATGCAAAGTATCGAATTATTGCCTGAAGATAAATCGTTAAAATTTTTCGGTGATGTTGACCTCGGTCGTATTTATAAACAAAACGGCGTATTGGAAGGATTTGAGGGTGAAAATTTAGAAATAATTGCAGAAAAAAGCTCATTACTCATCAACCTTTATTCGAGATTCAACAGAGTTTTCAATAAAGTCAAAATGGACAAAAATCGTACTACTTTCAACGGGATAAATTCATTTGAAGTGAAAAATAAGCAAAAGGAATCATTATTCAACTTGGCCAATCCAATATATAAAAATTTGAAAAACGTAAATACGTTTAAAGCAAAGAGCATTGCTACAAATAAAATCAGAAGTAAGCTTGATGAAAATCTGAAGATTGAAGGAGACATAGTGCATTTGAAAGGAAACGAAGGAGCTAAAATTGAAGGTAAGTAACTCAGATTACTGGATATGTAGGTATACCTTTAGGTACAGGGTGTGAAAAAATAGTGTAGTAGGCAAATCATAACTTATTCTTCAAAATGTGTTTAAAGCAAAAAAGTTGCAGTCCTTTAAATGTAAGGTGAATAATATAGTTTTTGTTGATTCCATGGTATTTTTTAGGAATAGAAACTACCTTATGGTAGTTGGTTCTTCTACTTGTTCAACAATTCTTTATTGTACACAGCAAAGGTGATCTTAGATATTCACTTTTAAATTAACCATTTTCAAAAAATTCAAGCTCCAATCTTTACAAGTCCTGGTTATTGATTTTTTTCTAACCCCTTGTAAATCTGACAAAGTTTTTCACATGGCAAAAGTTGAATCTCGGTTCATATGAACAATCGAAGATATGGACACTTTTTTCTTATCTTGACCAAGAAATTGTTTTGAAAATTAATAAAACTTAACTGCATTTTTCACCCCATATTCAAAGGGTTTTATTCACATTTTACCGTGCAAGTTTGAGCGAAGGGGAGATTGTTGTTCATAAGGTCATAAAATCACCTTTTTTATAGCACCCAACTTTTTCTTAAATCTTTGTGGTTTTGGTGGAAATGCATTTCGAAGAAAGTAATCTATTGTTCGTCGATTTTTATCTGACACTTTCCGTATGAGGAGCGAGGGGGTGAAGTATATGGCAAAAACAGGTGTGACGTTAGGTGAACATTGGCGTTCTAATGTAGGGTGCCACCAGCTCACATTCATTTCGAGTTATCAGATTAAAATCGACGGACTTTACTTACATAATTTTGATATTCAATTTGTCAGATCAAAATTTATGAAAACAAAAGTTTATTTTGATATGGATGAGGGCTTCAACAACAATACAAATAATATAAGTATAGGCACCAAAGTAATGTTAAATAATTTGAAACACTTCACATATATTGATACATTTTAGTTCTCAGTGAGTACTGCAATGGGTTTTCTGTAAAATAACTTCTTAGATATAACAGAACTAATTCAATATCACAGTTTGCAATTATTTTGCTAGTATACATGCTAATATAATATACATATTAATATTTATTTCTTCCTATTTTCAGCTCGTGAAATCGTCTGGAGCGCAGACCAAGACATTTACCTAAGAAGCATCAACGGTTCCATCATACTTAGTGCAGAAGAAGGGACTTATATTGACATTAAGAGACTACCCTTAGCTAAACTGTCAAAAAACAGTTACGTGACTGCACAATTTAAAATTTGTGTTTGTATGCCCCAAGGAAAGCTTTTTAGGGTACCAGTAGCCAATGCCAACGATCCAGTATATTGCCATCAAGCTGATATGTCGGCAGAGTATAATCCTTGTTTGTAATATGTAATTATTTAGTACCCCTAACAAGATAGAAAAGATGTTTACTTTCTTGAACTGAACTTCTGCACTGTTTAGCAAATATTTCATATCGTTGTTAATAATAATTTACTCCGGCCGGTGTGATTTTTGATTGATGATTTTTTTCATGTTTAAATAAAGATTATTATTGAAAATTAAAAAGATTTCCAAGCTTTTCGATTGTTGTGACCGACAAAACTTCATTCCTTTTCAACATTGCTTATGCGGGAATCGCATACACCAAGTTTCAACACACATGGACAAAACCTACATAGCAATAAGGAGTTAGTTAGGAGTTCGAGTTAGGACCGATGCCATAAATGTGTGGGTTTATTGGAGGATTGAGAAATTCTGGCAATGAGCGGAAAACCACGCAACTTCCTCTAACAACACCAATAAAAAAATCGAAAAGATCTATAGGATCATGGTGGCTTTTAGTTGGTTAGAGCGTAGCACCCACCGGCAACGCTGAGGACGCGGGTGCGAAACCTGCCCAGAACCAAAATTTTTAATCCTCCAATTTTCCTTAATTTTCTCTTCATTCAAAATAATCACATACGCTCTGAGGAAACCCACATATTGACCAACCAGTATACCAACAAAATACCCAACACAAACTTGAATACCTAGGTACACCAGCAGCAAGTTAGCCAACCCATTCGTAAGGTTGATGCAGAATCAACAATGAGCAATTAGGATGAACTCACCCTATTCGAAAAAACATCTCTTTGTCTTTGTTCGCACCTCTTCCTGTTGAGATTTTTCCAGAAGATTTACACCTATTACAATGACATATCAAATTAATGGTTCATAGGTCCAAGTTTAAACTAAACTTAGTAAAATCTGTTAAAGTCAATTTCAAATTGTTGCCCCTTAGACCAAAAAAAAAAACAAATTTCCAGAGAAACTACTCGAAAAATTCGTAGCGGAAGTCTGCGGTTGCGAAGAAAATTAAATAATGTTGAATTGTTACATTTGGCAACGATTTGATGACATTTCAGTTTGTAGAGGATTCAATTCTGAACAATCTTCAAATGGGACGAAATCTTGTAGGTATTATGGCCTTTGAGATATAAGCGTTAAAAAATTAACTTTTTTTGCAACTTTTTGTGTGGAGAGTATATGAAAAACTGGTGTTTATCAGTGAAAATTTTGACAGGTCGACATATTTCACGTCACTAACAAATGTCAACATAGGCTAAGGCCGGGACCGCACTGGCGCCAACATTGACCACAGTGCGGTCTCGACCTTAAAGTAAGTTGACATTAGTTTTTAAGTGACGTAAAGTATGTGAACCTGTCAATATTTTGGCTGATAAACACCAGTAGCACCAGTATCTTGTATACTCTCCACACAAAAAAGATCATCTTTCAACACTCATATCTCAAAAACCGTAATACTCACAAGATTTCATTCCATTTAAAGGTTGTTCAGAATTAAATCCTCAACAACATATCAAAAAATGGGCAAAATCCATAGAGCCCAAAAATCACATGTTAGGTCTGCGTTATCCTTTCCAAAAAAATTCATCTGAATTCAAGGCAAAAAGAGTATGTTGTTCTCAGAAATGGGGGGACTTTAATTTTCCCCGTATCTTTGCTTATGCAAAGATACATCAAATGTTGTATGTATTGTACGTCAAATTGTATTTTATACAATTTGAAAAATAAAATAACCCTATAAGCCTATACATACCTGCCAAGCTCATTCCATTTTTTATTAGCACAAAAAAAACTTCAAGAATACTGTGCTACCGAGAAAACAGAAACTTACCTGCATCTTTCCTTACTAGAAAGAAGTTTAAACTTACACTGTTCCCACACTCTTTATATCAACAGATTCATCCAAACAAATAAAATTATTGATTGAAAACTACTGTAGTTGAAATTTGAATTCCACTGTATTTGAACGCTTAAAAGTTTCTACAAAAAATACCAGTTGTTTAGCACATTATTAGTAGGTACATATTTTTATTCCATTTTGACGTTTAAAAATGACATTATTGAACGCATAATAACAAAGGTAAGTAGACGTTTATCACCTGAGTGACTTAAAATATTTTTAACTCACTCTCAGCCTTTTAAGTCACTCTGCTGGTACAAAAATCTGTTACAAATACAAACAAACAACTAGCTATACCCTAGCAACTAACAGTTTCAGTAGGTATTAGACATTAGCGCTCGCTGAATGAATTCTTTTTATAATTTGATTCCTATTAAGTACTCAATTTTTTAAATGTCCATCAAAATGGGATAAAATTTTGTATACATCACATGAGTTAAAATGTTTATTCATTCGAAGAAAATTAACCCACTCGCTAGGGCTCGTGGGTTAAACTTTCTTCTCATGAATAAACATTCATTTAACTCACTTGGTGTATAAATAACTAATATTCACACAGATAATGTAACTTTGCAAATATCAATAATAAACAAATAACTATAAGAGTAAATCCCAATGAACTGATTAAGATAACATTACCCAATCAGACTAAATCCTTTTTTAATGTACAGGGTGGCCCAAATTCGAGCCTCATCATTGGGATCTCGGAAACCATAAGAGATACAGGGTCAGTTAAATTATGGCAAAGTTGCACAATTTTATGACCAATAGAATGCCGTTTTGAAATTAGAAAGACTCGGAATACTTCCGGAGATATTCAGAAAAAACCGAAATTTTGTAAAATCGTTTCGTCACTTTTTCCCCTTTAGAAGATGGTGCTACTTAATTTAAAATCCGACGTTTCGTCTCCAGGCGGCCATCTTCAACTTACTTTTTTTAAATACGGACCTGGATTTTTTATTCGCGATTTTATCATCTTTGGGCATTCTAAAACCGATACTGTTTTCAATTTTTCAATAACACAGTAAAAAAAGCAGGTCGATATTTAAAAAAAAAAAAATTGATGGGCAACGAAACGTTGGATTTTGAATTTAATATGGCCATCTTGTAGATAAGAAAAAGCGACAATGAGAATGTGAAATTATTTTTTCAAAATCTTTTAAAATGAAATCAGGAAAAAATTTGAAAAATACGTGAAATTCATGTTTTTTTCGTATAGTTTTGATTTTTTCCTGATTTTATTAAAAAATATTTTGAAAAACTAATAATTTCACATTCTCATTGTCACTTTTTCTTCTCTATAAGATGGAGGCATCAAATTTGAAATCCAACGTTTCGTTCCTCTGGAATCATCATCAATTTATTTATTTTTAAATACGAACCTGCTTTTTTTACTGTGTTATTGAAAAATTATGAACATTATCGGTTTTAGGATGCCCAAAGATGACAAAATCGCAAATAAAAAATCCAGGTCCGTATTTAAAGAAAGTAAGTTGAAGATGGCCGTCTGGAGACGAAACGTCGGATTTTAAATTAAGTAGCACCATCTTCTAAAGGTGAAAGTGAAGTGACCTTTATTTTAAAATTGCTCTTCAAATAAGCCAGGGAAAGAATAAAAACGATTTTACAAAATTTCGGTTTTTTCCGAATATCTCCGGAAGTATTCGGAATCTTTCTAATTTCAAAACGGCATTCTATTGGTCATAAAATTGCGCAACTTTGCCATAATTTAACCGACCCTGTATCTCTTATGGTTTCCAAGGTCTTGTTATCGGAACCTCCTGTTAACTTATTTCTCTGATTTAGTATGATTTCACCTATGTTGCACTGACAAGAGCAACAAGTATGGAATTGGTGAAGCATTGAGAAACAGGTTTCCTCTATTGTCTTATAGAATAAAATCACATGTATTGAGTAATCTGGCAGTGACACTACAAACTCATTGTATGAGTTCTCAATAGTGTGCATGTTTGTAGCTACAGTTAAACACTACACCATTTCAACCTCAATTTCGGAAAAAGTAACTTTTATTTAGGAAAATGTAAAGTCATTTTCGGAAAAAGTCAAATCAATTTCAGAAAAAGTAAAGTTAATTTCGGAAAAAGTAAATTCAAATTCAGAAAAAGTAAATTCAAATTCGGAAAAAGTAAATTCAAATTCGGAAAAAGTACATCCAATTACGGAGAAAGTAATGTTTTTTTTAGAATAATTCGAATTGATAAAAAGTAAATTTAGCAGTGACTATAAACCTCCATTCGAACCCGTACCCTAATGGGTTCGATTTCAATCAGTGTAATTAGGTTCTACATATATTGGCTCCATATTATTTTGTAGGTCTGATGATGCTCATATGAGCAAAACACATGTCACTTTTAAGTGAATAAAATAATAAACAATCTGTAGTGCCTATGTTTTATTGTTCAAAAATCGGATCTCTTTGAGAAATATGGACAAATTTTTTGATTTTCTAAATAGATGACTCAATCAATTCAAATTATTCTAAAAAAAATAACATTACTTTCTCTGTAATTGAATGTATTTTTTTCCGAATTTGAATTCACTTTTTCCGAATTTGAATTTACTTTTTCCGAATTTTAATTTACTTTTTCCGAAATTAACTTTACTTTTTCTGAATTTGATTTGACTTTTTCCGAAAATGACTTTACATTTTCCTAAATAAAAATTACTTTTTCCGAAATTGAGGTTGAAATGGTGTAGTGTTTTCCCAAAAAAAAATCCAGTTTTCTTGTTTTTAATTATTATTAATTATAATTGTCTGAAAGCTTGTTTCAAATCTAATTTTAAAAAAAAAACACTTATTTATACTTTCAAAAGGTTTTGAATTATAAATGTATTCACCTAAAGTTTACAACACAAAATACACACACTTATCGAGGGAAAATTCCCTAGCTCAGGAAAATTATTCAATATTATGTAGGTACCACAATAAGATATGAAATAATTTTTCTTCAAAAATCTTACTTAATTTTCTTGTGTCTCCATCATACTTTCATCTCCATCTGCGTCGTCCATGTCATCATCATCTTCCCCTTCTTTCTTTTCTGGGGGATTTTCATAAGCTTTATCCAAGGGGGACACAACAACACCATCCCAAACAGACATTTCTTTAGCAATACTATTGTTCCCGTCCATTCCAAGAATTTGTTTGAAACCTCCATGCGATAATACTCTCAATAAAGTTTGTGCAGTCAAGCAGCAAATGTCTTGTTGCTCCAAAGTCAATGCTGTATGGATTCTTAAGCTCATTCCTTCACATGGATCAGTGATGCCTGCAGATCCAGGAAGAAATAGCCCAGCCGCAAGTAATTGGAAAACTCTACGGAATGCCACATTGATTGGCAAAGCTTGACGGCCAGGATTATGCATAATGGAGAAATGGGCAAGGAGATCCAACATCCAAGGAGTCAAAGGCTCAAAACCTTCAAATCTTGATCTGACATCGCGAAGTAAACGAATTAAGACCTTAATCGAAGAATGATGGGCATTCTCTTCAAACCATCTGCTGTGGCGGATAGCAGCTAAATGGCTGAGCATGATTTTTTGATCCAAATGGATTTCTGGATCCAATTTACGAATATTGTGATGCAAAGTTGTAACCAAAACTCTCACACATGCAAAGGCGTTGCGAATTTCTAGGCCTCTTTCATTTGTAGAGTGGGCTAATTGTTCGCCCTTTGGTACAATTTCATTTTTCATCAAATTTTTCAGATCTTCTTTAACTTTGTTGCCCAATGCTTCTACGGCTTCTTTTGTGGGAAGTGTTTTTAGGATGACAACAATATCGGCAATGTTGTGGCCTGTTACCATAGTGCCCTTTTTAAAGGATCCTACTTGACGCACCTCATCCAGTTGCTGAAAAAAAAATAGTGAAATTAATAAAAATTAGAATATGTAAGGAGTATTTACAGACATCAAGTTATGCTAGACAAAGTTCAAAGGAAGTTTCTTAGGTATATAGCATATAAGATGCACATTCCCATGGAGGAAATAAATTATCACCAGTTGGAGAGCAGTCTTAAAATTGGCTCTCTGAAAAATAGGAGAGAAACTGCCGATATAGTTTTTGCTCATAAATTAATTAATGGCTTGTGCGACTTCAGTGAGCTATTATTTAGACTGAATTTTTTTGTCCCTCCTAGACTTTTAAGAGACCAAAGAACTTTTGAACTGCGTCAGCATAGAACTCTTTATGGCCAGAATAGTGCAATAAATAGAATTATGAAAATCTGTGACAACTGTGAGAAAGATTTATTTATTGTGTCACAACAAAATCTGAAGAAGTACCTAAAAAATCGTGATTGTCAGTGATTTATATTGTGTAGTCTCATTTGTATTGTGATTGTTAAATTTTTATTTTTGCTTTTGTTTATATACCCACATGTTGTTCAGCAAGCGTTTTGAAAGAGATAAGCTTTTATTATTAGTTGTAATTTAGATTTAGCCAATCTGCGGCGTGTATTATTTCTATTCTTTTCTAGTTTTAGATTAGGTTATTATAGTACTTATTATCTCATATGTTACTGTAACCAATTGGGTCCAGCCCGTCTGTACAAATAAATAAAATAAAATAAAATAAATAAAAAAACATGTGAATAAAGCAGCTATAGATTTTATTATAAAAATATAATACATGAGGTAAGTATCAAAGACCAAAGTTAAAGAAAAATCAGGAGAAAAATTGAATATTATAAATGATCTTAGAGGTCAATCTGAAAAAGAATTGTTGCTATAAAAAAGACAATTAGCTACTTCCAAGAAACGTCGCATTAGGTGTAGACCAGAAAATGTAATATATCCTATATTTTCCTTAAGAAAACAACAGGACCTCTTATACAACCTATTTGAAGAAATCCACATACATATTGTTTTTCAACTTTACTAGAAGGTCTCCAAGTAGTTTTTCGATAAGCTGTTGTTGACTCAGTTGTCGATAAAAATATAGTCAAATTATTCTAAACAAACTTCAATAGAAAATGCACACACATGTGCCATCTCACCCTGACAAACTGACAGCATTAAGAATGGGGGATAAATTTACAGGCATGTGTTGAAGTTGCACTTGGCCAATAATTCGCAATTGAATTGATTGAGGATGTAGCTTTAGTATGACTGTTTGTTTTATGAGTGAAAAAAACTACCATTCAAGGAAAATTACAATAGGGAATTCTCATAAGAAATAAATATGGTTCATTTTGTTTCTATGGTGCACATTTTTCTGTAAAATATTGAATATGAGCAGTTTTGCATTTAATTTATTGATATTATTCTCATACGGCAATTATTAGTTTCAAATTGAAAAGTTTCGCGCGGAAAACCTACGTTCAACATGGCCGCTTTTGGTGACGTCAACTGTTCATAAACCAAGGTTAAGGGTAGTTTACACTGGCCATGAGTAACGAACGTGGTCTACGCTTTCATGGTTCATTCTTGGACCCTGAAGAACGATTGGTTCACGATCAGCTCACATCATGTCACGACTGATATTGAATCACCATAAATGGGTCTATAGAGGGATTGTCAGACTGCGCTTCTGTAAATCCTGTATCAATCGTGACAAACTTGAAACACAAAATGTCACAATACGCCAAATACAGAAACACCACGTAAAAACCACACTCCATGCAAAGATTTAATGCAGTCGATGGTACGAGCAATTTTTTCTGACAGTTTGCAAAGTGTCAGGGACTCTTGTGAGGACAGACCTTAACGTTGTATTTACAAACAGTTGACGTCACAAGTACCGACATCTTGAAGCCGAAGGTAATCCTTTTCGCGCCAACGGAAATAATTTGAAATTTTATAAATTCTTTCAATTTTAATGAGGACATAATAGAAAAGAAAACATATGTATTTTATATTTGAAAACATAAGCAATAAGAAAAAAAATAATTTGAAAAATATGATTGTTCCCTATTTAACCCAGAGTCAAGAAAATAGGTAAAAAATTGAATGTTGACATACACTTGGCCAAACATAAAACTGGTACATGCATTTTCCTATGTGTTGTAATGTAATGTGTAAATCGACCTTTATTATCACCTGAAAAATGACAGAAAGAGACAAGTCAGTGTCATCTTTAAATCAAACAAAATGCTGCCGCAAATACATTCGACAATGTCGAATGTCAAAAACTGTATAACCTGATTTTTTTAGAAGAAACATTTTATTGTTAAGCTAGACTCACATTAGGCAAATTTTAAAAATACCTATTGCCTGTACCAGTTTTATGTTTGGCCAAGTGTACACCAATTCCAATGCTTATAAACTGTAAGATAGGGGCTGTTTAATGGAGTCATTTTTTTTTTTGTCTGGCATTTTGAGGGCTGAATGTGGCTACTAAGCTGATGAGAATATGGGTGATTTTAATGCCTGCCTCCCGTTCGAAAATTTGCAGAAGAAAAAAATTGATTTACATGAAGATTTTTTTTTTAATGATCTCAAATTTTCTGGCTTTTAAATAAAAGATTAACATTGATAATAATTCACTCATGAAAAATACCAAATGCTTTTCAATAGCTGAAAAAGTGGGGATGGGTTTCAACTTCCAAGAGAAAAGGAAAGAACTTTCCGCGTTTACTTTTTGTCTGGCAATCGAGAGAATAAAAGGATTTGTTGTGAAAATAACGAAAAATCGCCAGACGGTAATCACTATGTTTAACTCTATTCAACTTTTGCAATATAAAGTACTGAAAAATGTTATTTAAATTTAACAGATTAACCGATTTAGAATTTCTATAAATAATCAATTCAACATTCCTAAAGTAAGTACAGATCGTTTCACCAGAATTTATACTTGACCTTGGAACTTGAAAAAAAAGTAATTCATATGACACATTCAATTTTTTTGACAAATCAAAATGAATGACTTTTGGTTTAAAAACCGACGAACGTTTTTGACGTCATTGATTTGTTTCAGTCAATTTCTATTTGTTAACAAAGGAAGGCAAATTATGTCAAAAGTATCGGGTCTTCAAAAAAAAAGAAAACAATCGAAGATTGCTTTGATTACGAAAACGTATGTCGCATTACTGTTTCTGTATTGGTCAGGATTTTTGACATGACATTTCGTCATTAACGTTCATTGACATAATTAAAGATAAATATTGCTAAGACATACATTTAAAAAACCATAGCAATCTTTGATTGTTTTTTTTTTTTTTTGACCCGATATGAACTCTCGTGAAACAAAGTTTACAGGGTATTTGATTATTTTTAAGCCCATACCTAGAACCTTTACAATTTAAGATAGAAAAAAATTTCAAATACTAAACTTAACAGTTTTTTTCTATATTTTCTTTTAACGTTATCAGAAAAAATAAAATCGCATCGGAAAATGGAGAAACGTAGATAGCTTCACCTTTTTCTAATTGAACACCCTGTATATGATGCGATAAAATGAAAGATCTTTTCTTCCTGATTCCAAAAATATACAGTGTGTCCACTTAAGTTTGCAGCATATGGGAAACTTTTTCATTATCAATTTTACGAAAAAAATTTATACTTTATAAAAGTTTCTGCTTCTTGAAAAAATACTAATAAACTACTAAAACTTGAAATAGCATGTACAGGGTGGTCAAAAACTGGAAAAATATACAGGATGTTTCCTAAGTACGATTCCTTACAATATTTTAAGAATAAAAGTTTCCATAAACATGTGTCCGGAAATGTGTAGTTTCTGAGATACAGGTATCGAAGTTTTAGAAAAAATCATTTTTTTAGCTTGAAAATCCATTTTCAAATTTTTTTTTCAAATTTGGCAGGTCTGTTTGTGATAACGAAAGGTATCTTTTGACTGTAATATGACTTGCTGAATCAGAAAAAAATATCAAAGGTTTTAAAAAATAGTGATGTGCCATTTGTTTCTACTTTTACCATTTTTCACCAAAAATTCTGTATATTTTTCTATTTTTTGACCACCCTGTACATGCTTTTTCAAGTTTTAATAGTTTAATACTATTTTTTCAAGAAGCAAAAACTTTTATAAAGAATAACTTTTTTTTGTAAAATTAATAATAAAAAGTATCCCATATGCTGCGAACTTAAGTGGACACACTGTATGTATATTGATCACATTTGCGTGAGCCATTTTTGACATATCTTAGCTTAAATTACAAATAAATTGCAAAGAAATTTTATAAAGATAGAGATCCTTATGGACTTTCTTTGCAAATTATCTATAATTCAACCTAAGATAAATCAGAAATGACTCACCCAAACCAAATGTGATCAATACATAATATATTTGGAATCAGGAAGAAAATATCTTTAATTTTATCGCATAATATTAACAAAAGTCGAAGTTTTCTACGTTCCTCTATTTTGCAATACGATTTTGTTTTTTTCTGATAACTTTAAAAGAAAATACAGAAAGAAACTGTCAAGTTTTCTATTTAATTTTTTTTTCTATCTTAAATAGTAAAGGCTCTAGGTTCTTATGGGCTTAATCTAATTATAATCAAATACCCTGTACATACAGTAGATTTAAATCCTTTGTGATAAAAAATAAATTGTAAAGAAATCGTATTTATGGCAGGATTTTTGGTCCACTGTTGGTCTCCTACTTATACCAGTCATACTATCCCCTAAGTATACTTTTTGTAAAACAGTAAAAGATGTACTTACACAAGCATCAAAATTCCCTGGAGCCACAACCAAGTTATCCAAAACAGTTTGTATTTTGGTGACCAAATTCAAGATAGCAGTTTGTTCATTGGGTGTTGGAGACAAATCGGCGTTTCGCTTGAGCAACGCCTGGGTGAAAGTGGTTTCTTCTGGTGCCGGCTTCGTGCGTGGAAAAGACGACTCGCAAAGGGCCAAGTCGAACGGGTGTCGGGGCAAAAACAGTTTTACTTTGAATGGTGGCCTTCCCATGCCACCCCGATTCATGCCGCCGCGTCCTCTCATGCCTCCTCTTGCCATTATCTTAGGAAATAAGTACCAAATATTGAATAATGTTGTCGCTTGGTTTGGTAAGTAAATATGAAAAATGCTTACCGGGTTTACACAATAAAAATGTCAGTGTTTAGCAAAACACTGTAGCTGTGTGGCTTGTGCAGTCAAATATTGGAAAATGGACGCGAAATCGACACGAATCGAATGAAATGTTGGGATCCTTGGGAATGGGTATGGAAATTTGCGTGCGGTTGCGGCGCGGCGTTGTGAATGTCAAATGATGTGAAGTCTATCAATGTCAAGTGAAAAGTGAAATCCAAGTCAAACGTCAAACAATCTTAAAATCCACCCCACCAAGCCAAAGAACCCGTGATGACGTAGTCACCGTGTCGTTTCTGGCCTTGGCGAAGGGTGTTTGCGCCACAGGTTATGATTCCGCGGGCCTTTGCTTTAATTACTGTATTCCTTTTATCCGTTGAGTTACTCGGAGCTGCTCAATGTCAAAAGCTTGAAGGTTCCTTTTAAAAGTGCATTATAAGCACTCGAGTCGCTCATAGTCATAGTGCATCCCCCTTACCCCTGATGCACCAAATTTGCGGTTGGTGCAAGAATCCCTTTTAGGTAATGACGGTGTTGTTATTAAAAAAATAATGGTGTTTTGGACTGACTCCGAGGAGCTCGTTCGATGTAACTCGATGTATAAAAGGAATACAGTAATTACTGAGCCGCATTCTTTCGGAACGGATCAGTTGATCAAAACGCGTAATCACGTTCTTTCGTTTTGAAATTTGACAGCGAATCATGATCCGAGAAATTCTGAACATATTGAACATTTTTTTTTTGTGATTAGTTTATTCCAATCACGAAAATGATGGTGTATTCGGTGGTGAACGTAGCCAATAACGAAGTGGCACTTCGGCACGCGTGTTGAGCCGTTTCGGGTACAGAGTGCGAAGCTCCTAGAACACTTCACACCTGTCATACTCCATGCGTTTTGCATTCAAACGTTTGAAACTGAACGGGGTCAAACTGTAACTGGAGTACGTTGGAGTAACTCGGGAGCGCTTAAAGGGTGGCATCCGAAAGCAGCTCTGGAAAATTGATACCCATCCTCGATGCTGTCCATTTATGTAATGGTAATTTAATGTACTGCGCATGGCACAAGTCGTCATGCATCAAAAAAGCTTGCAGCTTGTAAGCTTGAACGTCGGAGTCGGCGTGCATCCTAGCACGGAATTGAATTGAGGATGCCAACTTTAAACAACATTGTCATAGAATGCGTGCCGAAGTGCCACTTTGCTACCAGATTGATTTAGAATAGGCCTTAAGAAAGAGTGCACACTGGATAGCACCCCGGGATATTTTCGAACTAGCGTGAAAGTAAACCGGATTTTATACCAATTCATTTTCGAACGGCTGGTGTGCACTCGGTGAGACGCCCAGGGGTGCGATTTTCGAAACCATTCGAGTACATTTCGTACATGAAATTTGACTGCTCCCCATTTAATTTACATTGCTGTCAGTCAAATTTCGATCTTCTACTCGAATAGTTTCGAAAATTTGTTCTCTCGGGGAGCTCTACTCCCTGGGAATGAGAATCGGGCCCTAAACTGATTTCGAACGCACTCCTGAATTGTGTGTTTTGGAGTGACTCCGAGGAGCTCTGGAGCGACACGTTCGGTATACGTGTGACTCGATGTATAAAAGGAATACAGTATAATATGCATACTTGGTTTTAGTACATCAATTATTAACATTCTAAAACAACGCTCTTATAGATATCGTTTGCATCTTCCTCTTTGCCTATTATGTTAATCAAAATTAAATAATATCTTATTATCATCATATTAGTTATTTGTATACAAGGCTGTAGGCCGCGAAATGCCTCTCTGGCGTACGTAGAGAAAAGTTATCGCCGAGGCCGCTTGCGGCCGAGGCAAGTTATCTGGAGGAGGCTAAAAAGTACCGCGGTCATGGTATACGCACTATTTTTTTTTTTTGCAACTATGTTAAAAATTATGTAAAGTTACAGAAAAACTGTATGGATTTAACAAGGATTTAACACATTTTGCACGTAAGGTGTGGTGTGGCGGCCGCGAAAGCTCATTTCGCGTATGGTTGTACAAAAATTTATGTTGTAAATAAACTTCGGTCGCTGGCTCAAACAGGTGACGACGGAAGTTGATGACATCGTCAATGGTGCTACACAATATGGCCGCGATTCCCAAAAACAAGGCGGATCAGCAATCCTATTTATTAGTGTGTATTATCCTTGAAGAACACTGTCCAATCCATTGGTCCAATCCAAGTGTCCAACCAACCTACGGGAGTGGGACAAAGTATAGTAGTAGTATAGTATAGGGCGGAGGTGGGAAAGGAGGAGAAAAAATAAATTTGAGATCTTACGTCAAAATGCATAGACAACGAAAGAGAGGGGACGCGTCACATCCTTTACCTGGCGTCGTATTTTCGAATATTCTCGCGTACGAAATTTGATACGAATTCGAATGCTCCCCATTTACTGTCAATCAAATTTCGTGTACGAAATGTACTCGAATTTTAAATTATTTTGAATACAGTTTTGCTATAAAATATTTGTTGACTAGGTACCTGAACTATTAATTCGGGCAGAAACTAGATATTTTTTTGTGTTTTTTAGCCCATGTGTGGCCGCCACGCCATCTTGAATGTCACGTGGTTTGAAGAGAAAAAAAAAGTGAACGGGATTACATTTAACCAATGAACTATAGCCAAAAACTGGAATGCGCACACATTGCCATATCTGCCAAAAAAATGTAGCCATGAAAGACAGATGCCATAAGGGGGAATGTTGTTTTTTTCTGTTGCTCGCTGACATATGACGTTTTCGAAAGATTTGTCATATTTTCCTTCACAGGTTTCATCAATTGGAATACGTGTTGGAAGCAATTTCCGCCATTTAATATAATGAGTACGACAGAAACAGGTTTCCCCTCCGCAGCAGCGGCACTAGGCTTCACGTTCGTCAATATGTGTACGCATTCCAGTTTTTGGTTATAGTTCATTGCATTTAACAGGCAAAAAAACCTTTCGTTCAAGCAAAAAACAATATGCTTTCCAGGTTATGTTATGAAAAAAGCAGCCATTTTTTGGTGACAACTTGCCCTATTTAGTACAGGTGCTGTGCTGTGATCAATTGTGATACTCTTAAGACTGTGAGATAGGGGCTGTTTAGTGGCGTCATTTTTTTTTGTCTGGCATTTTGAGGGCTGAATGTGGCTACTAAGCTGATGAGAATATGGGTGATTTCAATGCCGGCCTCCCGTTCGAAAATTTGCAGAAGAAAAAAATTGATTTACATGAAGAATTTTTTTTTAATGATCTCAAATTTTCTAGCTTTTAAATGAAAGATTGACATTGATAAATAATTCACCCATGAAAAATATCAGATGCTTTTCAATAGCTGAAAAAATGGTGATAGGTGTCAACTTCCAAGAGAAAAGAAGAGAACCTTCCGCGTTTTCTTTTTGTCTGGCAATCGAGAGAATGAAAGATTTTGTTGTGAAAATAACGCTGAAAAATCGCCAGACGGTAATCACAATTCGAAATCGAGTTTTCCGGCGAAACATTCTGTGGACATTCCGAACAGGAGGCAGGCATTAAAACCACTTATATTCTCATCAGCTAACTAGTCACATTCATCCCTCAAAATGCCAGACAAAAAAAAATGACTCCTCTAAACAGGCCCTATCTCAGGGTCTATCTCTTTCCTTAGTCAAAATCAAAATGCGAAACAGGAAACATGCCAAAAATTCATGTTGAAAATGGAGTTTCGCATTTGCACTGGAGGTGAAAGAAAAACAGCTACTGTCATAGTCTTTTTTTTGTTTTTTTTTTTTGCTGTCATTTTTATGGCGTCCAAATTTGAGTGAGGAACGTCGGAACCAAGGATAGTATGCACTACTACTAGAAGATAGCCTATCCTCCTGTGTGGAACAAATACGAAGCCCCCCACCACGCCAAATCACCAGTTGTGACGTAATAGAATGTCATTTCCCGCTTTGACGTAGGCTGTTTGCATCACAGGTGGTTTATGCATACTTGGTTTTTAATTAACTTTCCAAAACAATTTTTTTTTAGATCTAGTTTTTATCTTCCTGTTTGCCTATTATGTTAATCAAAATTAAATTATATTTTTCATCATAAATTTAAATTCTAAACTACGTCCTCTAGTGCAAACAGTTGACGACTTGTTAATGACTTCGGAAATGGTGACACATCAATATGGCGGCGATTACCAAAAACGAGACCGATAAGTAATCCTTTAGTAGTGTGTATTATCCTTGCCTCAAAACGTCATACGTCATCCATCATCCATAACCTAACTTTTTTTCAAACTCAAACTTCTGTTTTTCACTTTTTTTAAAATTAATATTTTAGTGATTACAAATTACAAGAAAAATGTCTATGAACAAATTCATGCACCCTAGAAACATCTACAAAGACCCACCAAACTTCAAAGCACTGGCATTAGAATATCCCCAGTTTAAAAAGCACGTTAAACTGGACCTTACCGGCAAAACCATATTTGATTTCAAAGATCCAGAAGCCCTAAGAACCCTTTCTGCCACATTGTTGAAAAAAGACTTTGGTCTGGATGTGGAAATTCCCAAAAACAAGTTAGTTCCAACAATACCGCTTCGTTTAAATTACATTCTATGGATTGAAGACTTGCTGGAGTTTATAGGACGAAGTGATAGTATAAAAGGTATAGATATTGGAACTGGAGCTTCTTGTGTGTATCCTCTACTAGCAGCGAAAAAGAATCAGTGGTCAATATTGGCGACAGAAACAGATAATGAAAGTTTCCAATGTGCCCAAAGAAATATCGAAAACAATAATTTAAGTAGTCTAATTTCTATTATCAAAGTACCTGGTGATACTCTATTAACTGACTCAATTAATATGCAAGTGGATTACGATTTCTCTATGTGCAATCCACCATTCTTCTCCAGCACCCAAGAACTACATCCTTTTTTTAAATCTAGAAAAGCCAACAGGCCACATCCCAAAAATGCTTTTGTTGCCAGTGTTAATGAAGTAGTGGCAAAAGGAGGAGAAACTGAATTTATCCAAAAGATTATTAATGAAAGCAAAATTCTAGGTTCAAAAATAAAAATCTATACCACAATGGTTGGACAGAAAAGTAATCTGCCAGCATTGAAAAAGTATTTGAGAGATACTGAAGTGGTCAGTTTTAGGGAAGCTGAATTTTGCCAAGGAAATACTACAAGATGGGGCCTAGCATGGACTTATTTACCATGTGATTTACGCAAAGTGCCTGATCTGGTGAAAGTTGCTACCAAACCACTGAAACCTCATACTGCTTTACAATATGAACTTCCTGATCAAGAAAATACTCCAGAAAATGTGGAGAAAGTAACCAAATTAATTTTGAAGATGATTAAAGAGTTGAGCATGGACATTGAAGAAGTAACAAGGAATAAAATGCACCAGAGATATTTTGTAACAGCTCATGCGAACACTTGGTCCCATCAAAGAAAGAGAAGAAGAGAAAAATTAAGAAAAATGTCTGAAAAGGATTTGAAAACTGATGAAAATGAAAATAATAACAAAGACGAAGAAGAAAGTGCAGATGCAAAATCTGCTGGAAAAAGAACTCTTGATGATATTTTGTGTGAATCTACAAGTAAAAAATTAAGACTGAGCACAGATTCAGAAAGTAGTGACACTGTATTTTATAAGTTTATGCTTGCATTTGATTGCACAGGTGACAAAGTTACGTTGGAATTAAACACTATTAATGAATTTAATGACAGAGAGTATTTACATCAGATCATGCAGTTCATTAAAAATAATTTTGGGAAAATTGTAAATACTGATACATAATAGGAGTAAGAGAAATATTAGAGTTAAGTTTTCAGTTTTTTTTTTTTTTGGGAGGATTTTTTTTAAAGTTAATTTAATTGATTTGGATTGATACATAATTTTATTTTTTTATGGTCACAGAGGGCTGACGAAATTATAATTTATTTTGATTATTTTTTAAGTAAAGTTTTGTTTTAAGGTGATTTTATTGTGTAAATTTGTCATAAACCGAGTCATAAACCTTTCCTTTCCTTGTCATAAACCTTTCCTTTCTTCTTCATAAACCTCTCTGTGGGTAGTTTAGGTAGTTATTAGTATTGGCCGGTACTTTTCTACTACTGTGATCTCACCTCAATAACCAACCACAGCAATTTTCTTAAGAGATTTATTTCTCCTAAAATGAAATTATAGGCTCTTTCTGTGACAACTATGAAGATAAGCAGTCATGATGATTATGTTTTTATTTATCAACCCCAGTAAATAAAGAATCGATTAAATTGGCTTGATTGAGTATAATTTGAATTCGAATTTAGATGAAAGGGACACAGTAAGGAAATCGAAGGTTTCTAGGAAGTCCAAACCTAGTATAAACTCGTCTACTGTGTCAGCAACTGTAAACAACAAATCTTCCACTGTTTCGAGTAGCAGTTTATTTTTCGACATCACTAGTCCGTACAGTCCGTAGGGCGGGTCTTATATAAAACTATTTTGACAGAATAACTAAAAGTTAACTTCTATGACGTTACTTCTCATGCAATTTCAGAAGTTAACTGCCAAAGTAGTTTTATAATAGGGCGGGTATTATAAAACTTCTTTAAGAGTTAACTTAAAGTTAACTTCTGAAAATACATGTAATTCAAAAAGTTAACTGTCAAAGCAGTTTTATAATACCCGCCCTAATACAGTTTGACACGTTCGGTTTCAAGCGTTCGAGTGCAAAACGCATGAGTTCTTTTCACGTGGCTCCGGTTTAACTAACCGAAACCGGGTTACAAAACTGTTAGAGAAATGACATACCGTTTTCTAACCCGGTTACAAAGTGACGTGATGGATACCTACCACTCGAATTTGAGCGGTATGTTGCGGTTTGTTAAACCGGAACCACGTGAAAAGGGTTATTGAGTATGGAGTGTGACAGGTGTGAAGTGTTCTATAGGAACTTCGGACTTTGCACCCGAAAGCGGCTCAAGTTACTAGCACTTTGTAAGAATCTCTGATTTTCTGAAAATATAGGTCGTACCCAAAATCTTCGTTGCATTAGTTGCATTTTTTCTTCATATTTGTCCATTACCACGTATCTACGCTCCTTTGATACCTAACAAGCTTTCTTTCACTCCTCTTCATTCTGTAGTTTATTTTGTCACTATATTACTGTCCTAAGAACAATCACAGAAAACCAGAGAAAAAACTACAATAACAAATTGGTAGATTTAATTTACAAACCTGACAAAAAATAAACAAGACATATAGAAAGTTACAAAATTGTTTGTATTTTGGTTTTGATGCATGCCCATGCGGGATGTTACGCCAAAATTGGCGTAGAATAGGGAACTTGCACATTAAATTAAATATGAAATAAATAATAAAATACAATAACAATCATCCTAATAAATGATGCAATTAGGAAAAGGATATAATAGCTTATCTCTGGTTTTCAAAATCTTCAAATGAAAATACCAAATAATTCGAAATTCTTGACGAGATCAAAAACGTATTTCTATGGGTCCTGACGTCAGAGGGCAGTAATAATCGGGTCGCACCGCTGCCACACCATGTGCTGCTGGTGTTGTCAATGTCAAATCTATCATAAACGGCATACATAACTCATAACAACATAACCATAATCTAAATCCACCTGCTCGCAGGTCACTGCAACCAAGGAGTGTGAACGGAATTTTGTTGCTGAGTGACGTCACACTAATCGGTTGTTTCAAATGGCGATGTTTCGAGCGTAACTTCAAATATTTATAAAAAATTAACGGCTGATTTTTAATGCTTGATATTTGGCATGACTATGTCTTTAGTGTAGTAGTACACATTTTTGGAATAAAAAAAAAATGTCCAAGTTCCCTATTGACGTTCATGCCGATTGCGCAAATTACGCCCGTGGGGATTCGCCCTTATTCCTTTCGAAAAGTGTTTTAGGCATCACGCATCTCTTCCCTGCAAATCGGGGGATACTAAACACCGGAGCGAGTAGCTCGAGTGTTTCAAACTCTTGAAAGGAATACAACTAATATTCGCCCTTAGAGGGCGCGAAATTTCAATAAAACGAACGTGAATGAGCCTGCACCGAGTACACTTTTTGAATTAATGAACGGTAAATTTATGCTCGGAGAACTCAGATCAAAATAACGAACGCGCTGTATGTAGTATACAGGAATACAATTATATAGGTGGAATGTTCTTGTTCTTGAGATAGGTCTGTTTCCACAGGAATCACAAACCAGTCAGAGCGAATTGGTTGAAAATAGTCAGTTGTCGATTTGGACCAATGAAAAACACTGAGTGGTTTGTGATTTCTGTGGAAACAGACATAAGCGAACAGCGAACAAATCTAGAATGTTCCGTTTCTCTGCTCAACTGCTCGAGTAGACGGTGTGTGCTCCAGCTCTATCGGCTAGTGGTGGCTAGTGTCACGTAGCAGAGAGCTACTACACTACATATCAGTTGTATTCCTTTCAAGAGCTTGAAACACTTGAGCTACTCGCTCCGGTGTTTAGTCGCCCCCGATTTGCAGGGAACAGATGCGTGGTGCAACAAACACTTTTCGAAAGGAATAAGCGCGTGAAGCCCCGGAGCTGTTCCGGAGGAATACAACTAATAGTTGTATTCCTTTCACACCTAGGAGGAGCTCCGGAACAGCTCCGGGGCTTCACGCGCTTATTCCTTTCGAAAAGTGTTTGTTGCACCACGCATCTGTTCCCTGCAAATCGGGTGCGACTAAGCACCGGAGCGAGTAGCTCGAGTGTTTCAAGCTCTTGAAAGGAATACCACTAATCTCTTCATTACTTAAGTCTCTGCCCCTTACTTGAATCTTGAAGCTATATTTAAAGGGATTCAAACCATTTAAAATTTTTCTGCTGCTCATCTCGCTAATACTTGTCTTTATATTCCTATCCCGATTCCTGACAGCCTGGCGGGGCAGCGATTTATGAGATTGAGAACTGCGACCATAGAGGCTGCGACTATCTCCGACTTGCGACTTTTGCTAGTCTTGCTGGGATCACCCCATTTGTGCTAATGTTCATTTGCTCTACCCACCCGAAGTCGCCTTCGGGCGGGAACGTCGGACGAGCCGAAGTCCGACCGGAGTATGACCCTCATCGAAACGAATGCAGTTGTTGTAGCGCAAATGGGTACAGCGTTGCCGTTTCCTCTCCATCTGGCGGGTATTTAAAATAGAAAATAGAATTCTATTTCGATATTTTTCAAGTATTGAGTGGGTGTGGTGTTTTGTTTACTTTAAAAATGGATTATTGGTTAAATATTAATTTATTTTAACCTTCCATCGCGAGTTTTATAACATCATTAGTCACGCTGTATCACAGAGATACATATACTAAATCATTGATAAAAAAATTGAACCATCTGATGAATTTCGGTTTTACAATTTCTATGTATTGATTCGGGTACTCAACAATCAAAGATAGAACATTTTCACTGAGAAAGAGATTCCAGAAGTTGAATTCTATTTTCGCTATCTTAATGTTTCGAGCGCGCTCGGACTGCTCGGAGTTTACCGAGTGTAAAGCCACTGTGTGCAGAAGCTAGTTTCTGGATAGGAATTAGCAAATAAGCTATCCAAGTGCTCCTAAATAGTCGAAGAAGAACAGTCATTCAGATTTTTTTCATTACCAGGAATCACCTTTTCTACATTTAAAATCGATGAAGAAACAAGCACAACCTGAATCGCAAGCATCCCATCGAGACTTGCGGATGACGTCACCACTATAAGAGGCTATGCTGCTAATAGTACTAACGTCACTCGCAGGCCTTGCCGACTCGAGAATTGGCGAACGTACGCCTTATAAGGAAAAGCAATCCTATAGTTTATGATTCTTGCTATGCAAGTGTTTCCAAATAGTCAAAAAAAATTTGATCAGTTAATCATTAAACTAAATAGAGATTTTTTCTCATTATTAGGAAATGGAAATTGTTGGCTTCACGTTTAACTAGTTGGTGGTTAAAAGCTAAATTTTTTCTGGATAGGACTTAGGTGCTCAAGTGCTCCTAAATAGTCAAAGAAAAACATGAATTAGTTATATTATTTGAATTATAGATTTTTTTTGTATTATTATAGGGAACTGAACTACTGGCCTTACGTTTACTTGGGGGTGTAAATATTTGCAGCGAAATTGATAACACTGATAACAGTGGCTATAATGTTGTAATAATTGGAATTAGGTGCTATCTTAGTGCTCCTGAATAGTCGAAGAAAAACTTGAACTATCTAAAACTTCAACTTTTTGGGAGCACTTAAATAGCACCAAATTCCAATACAACATTTTAGTCGCAGTTTTCAGATTCGCTGCAATGCAAATACATCCCCAAGTAAATGTAAAGCCAGCAATTCCTTAATGAAAAAAAAATTTGTACTTCAGTTTAATAATTAACTGATTCAAGTTTTTCTTCAAATATTGAGAAGCACTTAAATAGCACTAATTCCTATCCATAAACATTTTAGCTCTGACACACCACCAACTGAACGTGAAGCCAATAATTTGCCAATAATGAAAAAAAACTGTAATTCAGTTAATAATTAACAGATTCAAGTGTTTCTTTGACAATTTAGGAGCACTTAAATAGTAGGTACCTAAATTCAATCCAAAAACATTTCAGCCTTTAACGGTTTAACGGCCAATTTCATAATAGAGAATTAAAAGTTACTTTAGCTAAATAGACTTTTAGGATGGGATTTTTCTACTTCAAATGGACCTTTATATTTAAAGTTTACTTTAAGTTGATTATGAAATTGGCTGTAAGCCTCTAACACACCCCCAATAAGTAAACGTGAATCCAGGAATTTCCTAATATTGAAAAAAAATCTGTAATTCAGTTAATAATTAACTGATTCAATTTTTTCTTTGACCAGGTATTTAGGAGAACTTTAAAAAGCATATTATCTAAATTCTGATACCAAAGAAAAATTTAAAAAAATATTTTTCACTACAGGGGACTGCTATATTTCATATTAACCTAGCAATCCCTTCGTTTTTTTCCATATGGGACTGCTAGGTTTATTGACCTAATATTCTGGGAAATCAATAAATAATACAACCCCATATGATTTTAAATCTGGGGAGATACTTTGATAGGTATATGTATTATTGACTTTACGTTTATAAATAATTTTACACGTCTGTATAAACTCTACAAGGACTCTACGCTTTAATAAATAAGTATATTATATATTTCTAAAATCTTAACTCTACTGTAGACTGTAGTTAATAAAAATAAAGTCCACAATCATTCACTAAATACAAATACATTTTTTAATTTATTTTTATTATTATCAGCTGATTACACCAGATGTTCCGCGCGCCCGCCGCGTACACAAAACCTTCATAAGCTTCAACTACTCTTGCTACTCCTCCGCGATCATGTTAACTGATCCCGATCATAGCCGATCGCGTTCGTGAGTAGACCATTTGCGGATGAGATGGCTCCATTTGTGCTACTGTGCATTTGTGCTAATCCGCAAATGGTCTACTCACGAACGCGATCGGCTATGATCGGGATCAGTTAACATGATCGCGGAGGAGTAGCAAGAGTAGTTGAAGCTTATGAAGGTTTTGTGTACGCGGCGGGCGCGCGGAACATCTGGTGTAATCAGCTGATAATAATAAAAATAAATTAAAAAATGTATTTGTATTTAGTGAATGATTGTGGACTTTATTTTTATTAACTACAGTCTACAGTAGAGTTAAGATTTTAGAAATATATAATATACTTATTTATTAAAGCGTAGAGTCCTTGTAGAGTTTATACAGACGTGTAAAATTATTTATAAATGTAAAGTCAATAATACATATACCTATCAAAGTATCTCCCCAGATTTAAAATCATATGGGGTTGTATTATTTATTGATTTCCCAGAATATTAGGTCAATAAACCTAGCAGTCCCATATGGAAAAAAACGAAGGGATTGCTAGGTTAATATGAAATATAGCAGTCCCCTGTAGTGAAAAATATTTTTTTAAATTTTTCTTTGGTATCAGAATTTAGATAATATGCTTTTTAAAGTTCTCCTAAATACCTGGTCAAAGAAAAAATTGAATCAGTTAATTATTAACTGAATTACAGATTTTTTTTCAATATTAGGAAATTCCTGGATTCACGTTTACTTATTGGGGGTGTTTTAGAGGCTTACAGCCAATTTCATAATCAACTTTAAGTAAACTTTAAATATAAAGGTCCATTTGAAGTAGAAAAATCCCATCCAAAAAGTCTATTTAGCTAAAATAACTTTTAATTCTCTATCATGAAATTGGCCGTTAAACCGTTAAAGGCTGAAATGTTTTTGGATTGAATTTAGGTACCTACTATTTAAGTGCTCCTAAATTGTCAAAGAAACACTTGAATCTGTTAATTATTAACTGAATTACAGTTTTTTTTCATTATTGGCAAATTATTGGCTTCACGTTCAGTTGGTGGTGTGTCAGAGCTAAAATGTTTATGGATAGGAATTAGTGCTATTTAAGTGCTTCTCAATATTTGAAGAAAAACTTGAATCAGTTAATTATTAAACTGAAGTACACAAACATTAAGGAATTGCTGGCTTTACATTTACTTGGGGATGTATTTGCATTGCAGCGAATCTGAAAACTGCGACTAAAATGTTGTATTGGAATTTGGTGCTATTTAAGTGCTCCCAAAAAGTTGAAGTTTTAGATAGTTCAAATTTTTCTTCGACTATTCAGGAGCACTAAGATAGCACCTAATTCCAATTATTACAACATTATAGCCACTGTTATCAGTGTTATCAGTTTCGCTGCAAATATTTACACCCCCAAGTAAACGTAAGGCCAGTAGTTCAGTTCCCTATAATAATACAAAAAAAATCTATAATTCAAATAATATAACTAATTCATGTTTTTCTTTGACTATTTAGGAGCACTTGAGCACCTAAGTCCTATCCAGAAAAAAATTAGCTTTTAACCACCAACTAGTTAAACGTGAAGCCAACAATTTCCATTTCCTAATAATGAGAAAAAATCTCTATTTAGTTTAATGATTAACTGATCAAATTTTCTTTGACTATTTGGAAACACTTGCATAGCAAGAATCATAAACTATAGGATTGCTTTTCCTTATAAGGCGTACGTTCGCCAATTCTCGAGTCGGCAAGGCCTGCGAGTGACGTTAGTACTATTAGCAGCATAGCCTCTTATAGTGGTGACGTCACCCGCAAGCCTCGATGGGATGCTTGCGATTCAGGTTGTGCTTGTTTCTTCATCGATTTTAAATGTAGAAAAGGTGATTCCTGGTAATGAAAAAAATCTGAATGATTGTTCTTCTTCGACTATTTAGGAGCACTTGGATAGCTTATTTGCTAATTCCTATCCAGAAACTAGCTTCTGCACACAGTGGCTTTACACTCGGTAAACTCCGAGCAGTCCGAGCGCGCTCGAAACATTAAGATAGCGATAATAGAATTCAACTTCTGGAATCTCTTTCTCAGTGAAAATGTTCTATCTTTGATTGTTGAGTACCCGAATCAATACATAGAAATTGTAAAACCGAAATTCATCAGATGGTTCAATTTTTTTATCAATGATTTAGTATATGTATCTCTGTGATACAGCGTGACTAATGATGTTATAAAACTCGCGATGGAAGGTTAAAATAAATTAATATTTAACCAATAAAATATTAAAAGTTAAAATTTTCCATTTTTAAAGTAAACAAAACACCACACGCACTCAATACTTGAAAAATATCGAAATAGAATTCTATTTTCTATTTTAAATACCCGCCAGATGGAGAGGGAACGGCAACGCTGCACCCATTTGCGCTACAACAACTGGCATTCGTTTCGATGAGGGTCATACTCCGGTCGGACTTCGGCTCGTCCGACGTTCCCGCCCGAAGGCGACTTCGGGTGGGTAGAGCAAATGAACATTAGCACAAATGGGGTGATCCCTTGCGGATTAGCACAAATGCACAGTAGCACAAATGGAGCCATCTCGTCTTGCTTATTTGAAATTTCGGCTATGTTCGGAATCTCCTGTCCGCTGATTGGTGGTAAAATGTGAAATTGCCTTTATCGATTTTATTCGACATCCCTTCTATTCTCCCCACCCAGTCGTATCTGTCATTTGGTGACGTCGTTCGTATTATTTTTGTGTAAATCGTTTCTGTTATTCAGATATGGAAGTGAAAGGGTGTAGTAAAGTGTAGCCAAGGTGAATTCCATGTTAAAAACTTGTGAAATTTGCGTTCAAAAGCCACTGGACGAACTGGAGGTGAGTTAACTTCGTTATTTGTGCCATTTGGAAAACGGAAATCATAATCCTGCTTTCTTGAAGAAGTCACTTATGGAGAAGTTCAGCTGTTCTTTGTTTTCGTCCCTCGTCTTGTAGTCCTCCATTTTGTGAAAGCAAAATCTGCGTCGTACCATAACGTACCTGATAACTGCAGTTTTTAAACGCAAAATTCATGATCTTGGCTTGTGATAATTCTAGTTACGATAGAATTAATACGTTGTTACGAGTTTATCTAGACTTTAGACTGTTTTTGAGGCCGTCAATTTGTTGTTTACGTTTATTCCGATAATCATTCCGACATAATGACGATGACAAAGAAACCCGATATCAAAAGCAAAATTGTCGGCCAGAGTAAAGCTCGGGGGGCCAAAAACCATCTGACAAAGAACAATCTTGGGGGTTCGCCTACTTTTGAAGATAGTTTCAATAACCGTCAGGGTGGGTCACCTACCAGAATGTCTCCAGTTAAAGGGTCCCCACCCAGATCTCCTGTAGCATTCCAACCAAGCTTGAGATCATCTCCAGGGCTTTTAGCTGGACATTATGCGGGTTGCAAGTTTACAGAGCCACCATCAGCATCGGCTTTGCCATTGCCTCCCCCTCATTGGATGCAATCACAATCGAAAAAATCTGTGATTTTACCTTTCCGAGCTATTATTCCTCTGCCAGTTGATCAAAATCATGACTTTTCCCAACAGCTCAAGCTGCTGCTCCAAGTACAAGCCTGATCTTGAGGCAGTTTACTTGTAACAACTTTCAATAAAAATCTAATTAAAAAAAGACATTTATCTTTATATATTATATATATTTTTATGAGTGGATACATTGAGAGAGAATGTCATTATTAATATTTAGATTTATGTTTGGTAGCGAGTGAACACGACAATATTTTAGTTAGAACATTAATTAGGTTTATGCCATTGGCCTAATAACCATTTAAGGATAATTGATTGTCGGATAACTTTGGGGATGATGCACAAAGTTTTTTTTTTACATGAATATTTGTCCTGTTCAGCCGCCCTGTGATATTTGCAATCACAATTACATGTGATTGCGCCAATAGGTTTTAGGAATCTAGAATTTAACGATAATGTCTTAAATTTAATCTGTTCTAAATGTGATTTTTTTGTTTTATTGTTAAACAAATCGTAAAATTTGAGTTTGTAACGAGAGCACTGCTCAAATCTGTGTGTGATATGACATGTTAGTTGTTTAACTTGTGATATAACAAATTAGCATTCAAATTTGAATTTAACTGTCGCTATAACTTTTGTTTAATATTTTCTCTTGCCTTAGAGGGCATGTACTGATTTTTATGAGAAAATATTGAAGGGACTTGATAGTGAGCAATAAATATTAAGCTTTAACTAGTGTTAGTGTGCAAATTTTTATTATCAATTTTTAAAAAATTGCAATACATGGTTATTTTCCCACACCATAAAAATAACAAAGTTTGAATGCTATTTTGCTATAATTGAAAATATCTAAAACTCGTCAATTATGGCGCATATTTTTATTAAAAGAAAGTACAAATTACTATCACTTGGAATCATGATATATGATATTAATAATTATCATTGAATTTTATAAACATTCAACTACTGAGTCATTGACTGATTGTACTGAAGAAATACCATTTATATCAATAGTCTGTCCCTTTATTTTTATCATAACAAAATTTTCTATTTATTGTTTATAAAATTCAACTATTTTTATCCATTGATTGGCATTGGCTTTAAAATTATTAAAATTCATATTTTATTTTTAAAAAGGAGTTCCTTATAACTGAGCACAATTAATTCAATAAATTGTGCAAAGTGCAATATAGTCTTCTCCGTATTAATTATTATTAGGTGATTAATTTTTCATTATTAGGAATTCTAATTTATATACTTAGGTATTCTGGTGAGTTTCTTTTTTGTTTTATTTTTTTTTAAATTTCTGTGTCAAAAGTATATTTTTAGTTTCATGGGAAATTAGAATTGCTAATAATTCAAAATTATGTTTTTTAGATTATAGAATCTCAGATCTCATAGTGTTCACTTTGAAAATTATTATCAACAATTGATTGATTCAAAATTTTTGTAAATTTTTCACCTCACCTCATCTCCATCCTTTATCTGTGATACCTACCTACCCATTTATCCTTGTCCTGGCCCAATTACAAAACTGTTTTTTATACTTATTACCAAAGAATTATATTTTATTTTTATTAATTTCAACTTAGTGCATCTCAATTAAGTAATGCTGAAAAAATATTGAAAAAAAAAAAAAAAAAAATGGCATCTATTTTACACGTTTTGTTTTACATAATTTAAAACCTTGGGAATTTTACACTTTTTTATAATCAGTCAATTTGACTATAAAACAAAACATGCTAAACTTGTCAAGTCTTTTGATTCGGTCAAAGTGAAATTAAATCATTTTATTTTCACAAAGTCATAATGCTTGAAGTTGTTTCTAATATAGTTTTTATATTTGTAAGCACTTTGTTGAAATTTCAATAGTTTCTTAATAATTTCTTATGAAACAACTATCAAATGATGCAATGAACAAATGAGTGTCAGTATTAATAACTAATTTTATTCATTCCAGTTGTAAATTTTATCTAAAGAATAATTAAATCACAAATTTTTATCTTTTATTTTGCTTATTGTTTGTTAGTTGTTTTATATTTGCCATAGTTCATAGAAAAAAAAATTGAATCTGTACTTACACCTACCCTTCCTCCTTATCCTGTTTCCTCTTCCTTTCCGGGGTTCACAACCCCACCCAAATGATAAAAAAAAGAAATTCGTTGACAATTGGCGTTGAGCTAATATTCATTTTTTTGCCTTAAAGCAATGTAATACTCTCATTGTATGATTTGCTTAAAGGTAAATTTTTGGTTTGTTCCAGCAACAATCCAGCTATTTTGGTTGATTTGATAAGGTTTTAAAGGTAGGTATTTTTATTTCAGAGTGTAATGGTGAAACCAATACTGCTAGCGGTACACATAGATATTTAGTGAAAAACGGCCAATTGTGTTAAAAGCATGAATTTTGGTATACTTGGTATTTAAACCATAACAATTGATTTGGCCCGTAGCACTATCCCACAACTGTCATTTGTTTATGTTTGTTTAAACAATTCAATCGATCTGTTAAAAAAGCACAAAATAGGCTCACCAGGACCGGTATTCTCGTTCTCGAAAACGCTCACCGCTTTTCAGTCGCTCGGCACTTTCAATGTAAATTTGCATTAAAAGTGCCGAGCGACTAGAAAGCGGTGAGCGTTTTCGAGGACAAGAATACCGACCCAGATGCCAATGCCAAATAAAATTTACATTGGAAGTTGATAAAATGGACGGAAAGTCATGCTGATCCATCCAAAGTTCCATCCTGTCCCAAGTCGCCATTTTGATTTTTTGTTTATACATATTGTTTACTAATTTAGTTAATGCAAAATTATTGATTTTTCTGATATTGCATGTGGGGAATCGATTTCGACTAATTAGGGGTCAAAAAGCTCGATTATTAACATTAGAACTTGTTTCCGCACTTTTTTAATACTTCCATGATAGAAATTATTGAATTATTTTTTAAAAATTATGCTATGCGCCGCTCTTATGTGAAATAACGACAATTCCAGTGCCAGAGTAAAGGAGAGCGAGAACGTTTTTTGATAGGGTTCCACTTTCAACCCTTGACAGGTGAATAATACTTTCTTTATCAACATTGTGTTTATTTTTTTCCAAAATCGGTACCTACGGTTTTAGTGCACTAATGATCTTTATGGGTTGAAAATATGAAAAAATTTGCTTCAAATTGAGTTTTTATTTTTTTTCTGAAGATTTTCGATAGGGTTCCACATTCATCTTATGATAGGTGATAATACTTTCTTTATCAACATTGTGTCTTTTTTTTTTTTTTTTCGAAATCGGTACGGTTTTAGGGCACTTATGGCCCTTATGGAATGAAAATATGAAAAAAATTTGCTCTAAATTGAGTTTTAATTTTTTTTCGATGGGGTTCCACATTCATCTTTTGACAGGTGATTAATACTTTAAGGTACCTGTCCCAAATAAGGCCATGTTAAGAAGTTTTATTTTTCCCGAACACTATCCACCAAACCCAACAAGAATCACGAGCTTATATGTGAAGTGTTTCGCCTCTATTACTTGAATAATAACTCCAATTTATTTATTTTTACATATAAGTGGTGGTTTTTGCGTAAAACAAGGACCCTTACCATTGGCCTTATTCGGATAACTATGCTCCTAATAAGGCCAACAATAAAAAATGTTTAAAATAAATAGAATAATTCATAAAAATATTATTTTTCGACATAAAGTTCTCAAAATAGAACTTTAACGTTTGCTGCATTCTAAAAAAAACAATAATTTGAAGTCCAGGGATGGTAATCCGAATAGGTCTACATACAACTAGGACAAATGAACCGCAGCTTTTCTTGCTTGGTTAGACTTCAGGCGTTCTAGAACACATCACTTAAGCAATAATATGATACATTCTTTTTAAAAAAACACTGTGATGGGAGGCCAATTGAAAATTTTTCATGTGGCCTTGTTAGGAACATGTTACATTGATAAACAAAATTCTGTAACTAGAAATCTAGCAAAGATATTATTCTGTACTTACTCTGTAGCTTTCTCAATACATAAATGTCCATGTAAAAATTACATTCGCTCCATTCCCTTTCTGAACATGTGTATAAACTAATTAAGTTCCAGCCTCAAAGTTATAACGTGACATATGAAATCTGTGGTTAGCCATTTTTCGACATATAACGAGTTGCTAGGAATCCTCGCAATAATTTTTGATTTGCATAATAGATATCTTTTTCAATAATATTTCAATTTTTGATTATGGGATTCAATATTAAGCAATAAGGGGCATTGGCCTTATTAGGTACATGGCCTTATTTGGGTCAGGTACCTTAATAGCAATTTGTCCATTTTTTTTCGAAATCGATACGGTTTAAGGGCACTTATGAGTAGGGATGTACCGGAATTCCGGCGGTACCACTAAATCCGGCCGATCCGGCCTATAGCCCGGAATTTTCGAAAACTTTAAAATAGGTTAAATAATAAATTTATAAGCGGAAAGCAAGAAGAATACTTAGAACTTTATTAAAATTAAAGTTGTAAACCATAACAATATTTTTTTTAAACATAAACATTAAATTCAGGTATGGATTTCAAAAAACTTCCATACTTTTGACATTTTTAACTTAGCTGGATACACAAGAACACAAAACAACTGCAACTATATACACTGTACTGAAAATCGTTTAAGTTTTACGTGCACAAGCGTTTGAGTCAGATGTCTGTGGTCCCTATTCTAGAGACAGGGGAGAAACGTTCTCCTGAGATCGAAGGTTCTGTCTTCGTCACCCATATTCATATTTCCATAACACTAACAAAGACAGAGCAATCGTTCTCATGAGAACGCTATACCCCGGTTTTGAAAATAGACATCCAGGGTCCTTATTCTTGAAACAGGGGAGCAATGTTCCCAGGAGAACGAGTGTTCCGTCTTTCTCAATGATATGCAAATGACAATATAGGTAACAAAGACGGATCACTCGTTCTCCTGGGAACGTTGCTCTCCTGTTTCAAGAATAAGGACACAGATAGACTCGGGGATTGGCCAATCTACTTGAAGGAGCAGCCAAACTCAAACATAACCAAACTTTAGCCGCTTTCTTTTTTTCCATCGAGCTATCTTTTTTTCCATCGAGCTATTCTCCATTATGAGTAAGTAAGTAAGTAAGTCATCTTCATCTTGATTTCCTATGTACTAGAAAGAGATAAACTGCTCATCTGTAGGTTCGCCGGTAAAAAAAGAATGCGCCCTTTCAAATTATTATTAAATTGCAGAAAACTGTCGATCCGGCCGGAATTCCGGCGGTCCGGTCCGGTTAGGAGCCGGAATTCCCGTTCCGGCCGGATCGGCCAAATAACCGATCCGGTACATCCCTACTTATGAGTTGAAAATATGAAAAAATTTACTTCAAATTCAGTTTTTAGTTTTTTTTTCTGATGATTTTCAATAAAGTTCCACATTTATCTTTTGACAGGTGATTAATACTTTCTTTATCATATGAAAAAATTTGCTTCAAATTGAGCTTTTATTTTTTTTCTGAAGATTTTCGACAAGGTTCCACATGAATCTTTTGAATGGTGATTAATACTTTCTTTATTAACATTGTGTCAATTTTGTTTCCAAACTCGGCACGGTTCTAGGGCACTCATCGCCCTTATGGGTTGAAAATATGAAAAATTTTGCTTCAAATTGAGCTTTTTTTTCTGAAGATTTTCGATAGGGTTTCACATTCATTTTTTGATAGGTGATTATTACTTTCTTGATCAACATTGTGTCTTTTTTTTTTCGAAATCGGTACGGTTTTAGGACACTTATGCGGCCCTTATGGAATGAAAATATGGAAAAATTTGCTTCAAATTGAGCTTTTTTTCCACATCCATATTTTAACAGGCAATTAATACTTTCTTTATCAACACTGAGTGTTGAAATGGGATTAGGAGTGCGTTACTTGTCAGTGTTGAAATAGGTTTATTTTTTGAATTTTAAATATTTTGAATAAATCACAAAAAATCTGGTATGAGACACGTCGCAAAATGGCTGGTTTTTTGCACACAATGTGTTGAACCACTCGCTTCGCTCGTGGTTCAATCTCCACATTTAGTGCAAAAAACACGCTTATTTTACAACTTGTTACATAAATAGCTATTATTTAATGGTTTTATTAATTCATTTATCCTCAGTTATTCGTCCACTGTCACTTGAGCGCCAAATTTTGTTCAATATTTTCTTCTATAATACAGAAGAACAATTAAAAAAGCCTTGCAAATGAGTTCTAATGTTATTAATCGAGATTTTTGACCCCTAATTAGTCGAAATCGATTCCCCACATGCAATATCCGGAAAATCAATAATTTTGCATAAACAAAAGTGAACAATATGTTTAAATAATAAATCAAAGTGGCGACTTTGGTCAGGATGGACCTTTGCATGGGTCAGCATGACTTTCCGTCCTTTTTATCAACTTCCATTGTAAATTTTATTTGGCATTCATTGGCATCTGGTGAGCCTTTTTTGTGCTTTTTTAACGGATCGAGTGAATTGTTTAAACAAATATAAACAAATGACAGTTGTGGGGTAGTGCTACGGGTCAAATCAATTGTTATGTTTCAAAGACCAAGTGTACCAAAATTCATGCTTTTAACACAATTTGCCGTTTTTTTTCATGTACCGCTAGGACTACAAGTCATCATCAACTAACCCACCATGTCCATTTCTGTGGAGAATGGCTATCTCCATTTCTGTATATTTTTTTGTTCACTGATTATTTGAGCATTCTTTCCAATTTATCCTTGATTTTAAATTTTGGCGCCATACAATTTCAAGTTCTATATGGCACGAGAAGATTCAAGCGCTTCCCAGAAATCAGCGCACCAAGCAGATTAAGATAGAGATCCGAACTTGTCAATTGAGTTTTCAGACTCGTTTTCAGAACCCTCAAAACCGATCCTTTCAAATTCAATTCAAAATCCGTTAGAAAATCAACCTCATAGTTTTAGAAGATATTTTAAACCTATTTTATGTGATTGTATTCTTCGAAGAATTGGTAGACCATCAGGTGCACCTGCAGGAAAAGAAAACGTCGTTGGAAGAACACAAGTAAGTGCCTCCATTTTATTCTTGTATGGCTTGGGTTTAAATATCAGAGTTTTTATTTTTTGGCAAAATTTTA